ATATCAAATAATCAAGGACTACGCCGCATGCGCGAAATATAAGAGGTGCGTGTGTGTTTAGAAAGCTCACACACAATGCACCGAAACTGATGGGTTCTACAAGCTGTTCGTAATGCAGGAAAAAAAGATAACAAATGCTGAAAATTAGCATGTCTTAGATGAGCATGCCATAAACCAAGAGTTTGGTTCGTAAAAGAATGCCTTCCATAGTTCGGTAATACGAAAGCATGTGCAAGAATTGGAGATGTCTGAAAGATGTACAGCCCGTCCCTCTCATACCCCCTGCCAAAAATCCTCTTCGTAGCTAGGTCTTGAAAATCACAGTGATCAGGAAAGAAAGTCACAAAGCAGGCCAATGAACGAGTTAAGCGGCTAACAAATAATAAGTTAAGGGAAAGGTTAGGCGTATGAAGAACAGAGTGTAAAGATTAATCAGGAGATAAACTAACATTACCTTTACTAATGATCGGTGTAAAAGAATCGTCAACAAGGCGTACTTGCCCGGAGAATACTTCCATATTTGAAAAATATTGAGACTCACCAATCATGTGATCGGAAGCACCAGAATCTATGACCCAAGTTAGAGGAACAATACCAGACTGAGAGGAATGGAATGCAGATGGGGTACCTAAGTGAGCTGCAGTTGATGTAGTTGAAGGGATGGTACCTAAGTGAGCTGCAGCAGATGTAGCTGAAAGGAGAGCTGCCTGTAGTAAATGATCTCGGATAATAAACTCAATTTGTATATGCAATTGATGCATATCAATACATCCAGGTGGAGCAGGTGGCTCTTGGGCACCAAAGGACTCGGCAATAGCAACAGCAGTAGAAGTTGTAGTGCTACTAGATCTGAGGTGTGGGTAGAGCTGGAAGCACCTATCCTTAGCATGACCAGTTTTTCCATAGTGTGCACATATGGTAGAACTTTCCCGTCCAAGGTTACTGCTACGGCCACGGCTACGAGTACCAGATGATCTAGAAGAAGCGACTAATGCCATCTGATCAATGCCAGGTGCAGGAAGTGTAGCAGGAGCCAGTGAAGGTGTAACCTGATGTCAACGATCATCCATCAATAATAGTAAAAGCCTTGAAAAGAGAGGGTAGAGGTGTAGTATTCAGAATTTGAGCGTGAATGGCCTTAAATTCTGGACGGAGTCCCATAAGGAACTGATAAATCTGATGGCGCTCATGTCTAGCCTTAATAATCCCTGCAGCCTCTGCTAGATATCCCCAAGGGATTCATAGTAAGCAATTTCCTCCCAGCGTGACTGAATGAAGGCAAAGTAATCTGAAACCGATAGCTTCAAATCGTGTTGGGTAGCTTGTGAGATATCTCGATGTAACTCATAGATCCGTGCTTTATTACGAGCATGAGCGTAGGTCTTAGTGAGAGCAGTCCATAATGTGTGTACAGTTTCATGATACATAAACATATTATAAATACACTGCTCCATAGAATTGAATAACCACCCAAGAATGGTACAATTATCAATGTCCCATTGTGTAAACATGGGTTCGGTAAGTGCTATTTTTTTAATAATGCCTAATAAATATCCAGTTTTACCCTGACTCTCTAAATAAAGTCTCACTGATCTCGACCAAGACGGAAAATTTTTCCCATTTAATAAAACTAGAATCCTTTAGGCTTGGGAACTATCCCCATAGCATGTGTTATCCTTTGTTTGAACATATTCCATTTCTCAAATTGTGATGATATAGAATCAAATCGCAGATTCTTACAGAATTGTAGATTGTAAATACTGTTGTCTGCAAGTCACAGGGGCTAGAGAAGCTCTGTCTACAAGAGTGAAACTCGTTCGGACAATTCGTTAACAGCATGTACTGACCCTTGCGGAAGTTGACAAAGTATGGAAAAAGGTTGGACAATTTGTCAACAACACGTAACGATTGAGCCGGTCGTTGGTTTAGAGAGAGACCCCTCCCTCTACCAAATGAAGTGATGGAGGTAAGAAGAAATACCACCGAAGGGGTTTGGTTTGCTTGGGTGTGGTTTAGTGGTTGGTGACTGAAAAATTTAAAGAACACAGAAAGAGGAGAGGATGAACCACGAGAAGATGAAGTAGAGATCAAGCAGTGGAGTGTGTGTCGTGTTCTTGGCTCTGATACCAAGTCGAATGTAAAAGGCTCTAGTAAGCCACAAATTTTCATTAGCTATGCTCCTAATTTATATTACAGACTAATTATTGCATGAGTGGAAATTGTGGAAAGTAAATCAAATCATTAATCGTATGCCTTTAATAGGCAGATGATGAAAATAATATCATATAAAATCAAATTAAGATCAGATAAATTCCAATCCCTAAAGATACTCCCATACAGATCAATTCCCTATATTTTCTCCCAATAGGTGGTATACTTGAAAAGTGTTGAAGATGCATAAATGCACAATACTTGTCAATAGCAATGCATGGAAAGACCAGTCTATTTTGCCTATATATGCACACTCCTAGGTTGAATATTGTTATGACAAACGCAACAAACCAAGCAACAATTACGAAACAGGATAGAAAAATAAACACACCACACAAAGATTTATACTTGGTTTGGCAAAACCTACGTCCATAGTGGAGATCCGGTAAAAGTCTTCATTATGAGTAAAATCGGAGATTACAAGTTTCAGCCCCACTCTCTCTATGTGTACGATTTTCAGTATCCCTTGACCATTACTCCAAACCTTAAGCGTCTTTATATATTGAGCTACAAGAGAGTACTAATTAGGGTCCACGACCCATCAACAAAAACGGTCGTCGGGTCATATGGTCAAAGCTCATCCAATTGGTCATCGGGTCATAATCGGGGTGTGACCTGGGACCAAATTCGGGCCACCACATCACAAATATAACGCATCTTTAACATCTCTTATACACTAAGATCTCATTGAGATAGCATTATTTTTGAGCTTTAGATTGCATCTTTATTCTTCTTTACATTCATCATACTTTGTTTTGGTGAGCATTCCATTGTGTGTAGATAGCTACTGCTAGTGTACTTGATCGGATAGTTCAACACTGCTATCAATCGTTACACAGAGATTGAACCCGGACGACTAGTGGTCGAGATCGAAATCACTGAAGTAGCAGATTCGTGAAGAGCAGATGTTGATGAGCGAAAGGATAACCTGGAGTCTTTTGGGGGAAATATTGGTGTCATCTATGTCGGGATGTAACTAGGGGTTTCTTGGGTTAGACTATGTTAACCTAGGTTGTACTCTCACACACATAATGGATTTTGATTTTGCCTTTACTAGGTCCCACGATATTCCCCCTTGGAATTTTCACGTGAGTATCCATTGTTTTACTTTTTATCTACTTATTATTGCTATGGATAGATAGACAACCCCCGCCCGCCTGCCCACCTTAGGTAGTGCCTCGGGTTCTGGTCCTTACCATTACATCTTATATGATATACTCTACTCTACCCCCCAAGTAATTGGTACGCTCGTTGTCTAGACTGATCATAAGTAAAATAGGAAACATCTTGAATGATGCACTTTAAATCAAGTCATGGATAATCATGAAGTTGAGTTGAAGCTTGATGATAACCTACCGAGTTAAGTGTGGGTCTAGCAAGCGAAGTCTTGGAGATTTGGGGAAAGCAAGCAGGAAGCTGAATGTAAGTAGGACTGGTAAAAAGGCATGTTGCATGGTTATGAGAACGCTATTAGCAGTTCTGGAACAAATTCATGTTTAGGTTTCAGAAACTACGGCCTTTTATGATCATATTATAGTGAAAGCGTCATGCTGTAAATTTGTGAATATTGCTTGCAATTGGTTATTCTATTAATTTAAAAGAAATAACTGACTAATCTTAAAATTGGTTTTCATCCCTAGTGAAAGAAAAATAAGATTGTGGTAGTCCTAAAAGAATGTTAGAAGTTCAACTCAACAAAGTCTTTTTCTGAACTACTTGGGGTTGACAAAAGGATTTTAGAAGAGCAATTTTGTAATTTTTGAGTATCGAATTTTAGAACTATATAGTTTGAAAAGATAACGTATGAATTAGAAATAATTAAACGTTGCATTTCTGTTGCCCCGTTTTCTGGGAAGCTTCTGAAGTGTAGTGCTTCCCTCCTCTAAAGTGTGCTTCTATGGAAGCATGTTTCCATCTTAAAGAGCTTCGAGTGCTGTCAGCAGTGTGCTTTGATATGGTAAACGTGCAATCTTTCTTTAGTCTTCATCCTTTTCCTTTTTCCCTTATATTTTCCTTTTGTTCTAGACAACAGGGTTGGTTTTAGGTGTTACTGTTAAGATGGTGTTCGAGCTCATGGGGAAATTGTACTTCTTCTCTAGTGTGACATTTTAGAGACTACATGGTTTTACTAATTCAGCTGCTGCCTTCTGAAGATGTAGTGGGTTTCCCTTCTATCTTTGAAAACAGAAGATGCATTTAAGGATCAAACAAATCCCTTTTTTCTTTTCTTTTGCTCTCGGCCTAGATCCTCTCGACACTTTGTAGTGTTAACTATTTTCTTGTTGCTTATTTTCTGTATGTTCTTCTTTAGCCTCAATTAATTATTTTAGTTGACCGATTGTAACCTTTTTCATTGTAAATATTATGCGAACTACTTGAATGTTCTTAACTAGAAACTGCATATATTGGATTGGTAAAAATTCCTTTGTTAGGTGACGATTGCTGGCTGTTGGTGGGCTTTATTGGAGTTTCTACCATAAACCTGAGACCAAGTCATGACAGGAGCTAGAAATCCTTATCCATGTGCTTACAAAATTAAAAGAAAGTTATTATGAATAATTACTTTGTTCATTTATTAGTACAAATTAACATGTTAGGGTTGGTTTGTAATATTTCTAATTTTTAAAAGAAAGTTCATTAGTTTAAGAAAATCTGCTTCGATGCATTATAGACCAAAAATACATCAGTTCCTGTATTTTATTGCTTACTGTATTTTATTGTTTTATCTGCTTTTCTCTCACTTAGTGAAATTGCATTCCAAAAGTTACAAATCTGTTCATTTCTTTCAGCTTAGTAAGGATTGGTTCCCACCTGCAGAGGTTTCTATGAAACGTGATCATATCAGGAAATTAATATATGAAATAGTTGAAGATAATTCTCTGAGAGTTCCTCAAGCTGCTTGCAATGACGATTATCCTTCTATGTTGCAAGATGTAAATGGGAGGGACACTGGCGTAGAGTTTCTTGGGGAAATATCCAATTCAGCAGAAAAATCTCATGGCAGTTTGGAAATTACTCCATTATCAGCTTCCCCTCTGAGAGGTCTACAATGTTTTAGAGAATCGAGATTAGTTTTCGAGGATTTGTTAAATCCAGGAGCTACTGCAGGATTACTCACTGATGGAAGTTTTCAGCCTTTTGGGCAGATAGTATCACATAGTCGGTTTAAGACTGTCATTTCACCAATAGAGGTAATTTATTTTCTTTGTTGTACTCATAGTGATTATTTACTCTATATGCAAAAGATATTATCACAATTTTGATTTTAAAATCATGGTTGGGTTTTTTTGAAGTTAGGTTTTCAACAAAATTCATTACAAAACAGCCTTCATAGCTTTCTATTAAGTGAAAAAGCTGCTCCTTTCCTTTTGGAGTTAGGCAAAAAATGTTTGAGGGTAGCACCATTTTCTGGGGATATCTGCAGCCTAAAAATATTGAGCTGTTCTTTTCTGCTTCTAGTCCAGGTGTTCCGACCTTAACCCTATATCCGCCATCAAGCTTTCATCATGCCATTTGGCGTTCCAGCATGCTGAGCTAAAGGGTCTTCTAACTCATTTTCCATGATATGTTTTGTGTTGCTGGCTCACTGTGTATTTGATGCTTACAGTGTGAATAAGTGTTTAAACATGCATATTAGGGAACTACATTAGTGTTCATTGATTTGATTTCTAATGTAAATGAGAGAGTGACAACAGACAGAAAAGTCAATTTAAATTCCTAACAATGGTATGATTTAGTCCTTGTGAACCAATGAGTTCAAACCTGATCATGTTAAATATACTTTCCATTGATATAATTTACTGGCTACCCAGTACTTTGGTTGATCTTTTGTCTTGAAAAAAAAAAAAAAAAAACCAGGAAGGTGAGGAGACCGTGGAGCGATTTTCTTATTCACCAACAGAAGCAGCTGGCCGGCATGCGGATGAAACTACTGTACCTTCCACCTCATATTCTGCCAAAACTGTTGAAGCACTGCAAATTTCTATGCATCTCGAGGAAGATGAGGAAGAGCCGGTTTCATCAGAAGTAGGAGTTAGTGAAATTCACCGGTATGAAGAACTTCTGGGTTCAAGTCCTCAGGAAGAGATAATTCTGAATCGTCTTCCATGTTAAGTGCGAGACTTGCAGTTTGTATAGTTGAGGATTCTGAAGACGCGAACGTGGTAGATATTGTCAGTGAGAGTGAAGATTCTCCTTCCTGTGAAGGAAAAAGTCTCAGCTCATCCAATCAAAAAGCTGATCTTAAAGTAAATAATACGTTAGCAATGTCAGAAGATAGTGAAATTCACCGGTATGAAGAACTTCTGGGTTCAAGTCATGAGGAAGAAGATAATTCTGAATCGTCTTCCATGTTAAGTGCAAGACTTGCGGTTTGTATAGTTGAGGATTCTGAAGATGCGAACGTGGTAGATATTGTCAGTGAGAGTGAAGATTCTCCTTTCTGTGAAGGAAAAAGTCTCGGCCCACCTAATCAAAAAGCTGATCTTAAAGTAAATAATACATTAGCAATGTCAGAAGATAGTGAAATTCCCTGGTATGAAGAACTTCTGGGTTCAAGTCCTCAGGAAGAAGATAATTCTGAATCGTCTTCCATGTTAAGTGCGAGACTTGCGGTTTGTATAGTTGAGGATTCTGAAGACGCGAACGTGGTAGATATTGTCAGTGAGAGTGAAGATTCTCCTTCCCGTGAAGGAAAAAGTCTCAGCCCATCCAATAAAAAAGCTGATCTTAAAGTAAATAATACGTCAGCAATGTCAGAATCAGAACTGAAGGCTTCAAAAAAACCAAGGCTTATGCCGCCTGAAATTGGAAGACGACTTACAAGAAAGCTGGCCAGGAAGTTGCTTAGATGAAGTTTTTTTTGGTAAATAGTGTTAGGAGAACTGTGTTTAACAAAAGTTTGAAAGGTTTGTATAGGGGGTAGAGGCTGGCTATGTAAAACCCCGAGTCACTGTCCCAAACAAATCAGAATAGGGCTTTTCGGTGGGTGCAGTGCAAGAGACTCGTCTTCGTATCTTTTTAACAGTTTTCCTGTGTCCTGTACCCCATCTACCAAATGAGTTTTTTTGCTATATATCATATAATTAAATTTTAGGAGTTTGCTTGTTAGTGCATTCTCTGGTTCATGACCCTCATTGTCTGTGGGTTCTGCTTGTTTCACCAGAAAATATTTGAAATGTGTCCCTACTACCAGGAATGACAAAGTGAGAACAAAAACACCGGCTACAAATAGAGGTAGGCCGGCTAGTTGACATTTTTTTTTTTTCCTTTGTGTTGGAATAAATTAGTTTCTCAAAAATCAGCTGGAAATCTGAATAATTGTTAGGTGTAAGAGTATACTTCTACAACAAATATTTTAGCTGGGTGTTGCTTTTCTTGTTGGAAGTAAATTGATTAATATTTCCTATTTGTCAACTATCTTACCTATTATACATTAATGTGGCACCGTCTTATTAATTTTTGTTTTCTTCTTTTGAGATACATCTTGAGAATGAAATGTTTAGTGATTTATAAGAGGAATCATAGGAAGAGGTGGTATTTATTGAATAAGAAGATTTATGATAATGAATGCAGGAAAAAGAACACTGATAGAAAGTTGCTGGCTTGATGGGGGGCTTGAGAAGTTCTGCTGTGAGGAGAAAAGAGTCTGTGGGATAATAGAGTGAGATTGACCTTACATGGTTGTTAGGGGCTGTAACTTCTGATTATAATCCTTTGGTTTAGCTTGATGAAATTTTCTTTTTGATAAAAACAAGGGTGGTAATATTAGGACTTAATACTTAGGAAAACTTTATTTGTTGTGACAGGTGCCTGTTACAATGCTCACGGTTATAGCCTCTTGTGGGGCTTATCAGGAGTGACAATGTGTCATAGTTTCTTGTAAATGTTGCACCAGTTGACTATTGCAACACTCATAATCCCCTGTGGGGCCTATCATGAGTGATGATGTGTCATAATTTTTTGTAAATGTTGCGTCAGTCGCTTGTCGAAAGTCACAATAACTAATAATGCTCTAATACTTGAGTAACCATCCTAATCGCTTCTTAAAAGTCGCAACAACTAATAATACCCTAATACTTGAGTAGCCATCCTAAAATCAAATAATAAAATATATTTTTTTTTGTTGGATAATGATTTGGAGTCCCAAAGTTGGACAAATCTTACATATTTATGTGAGTGATGATTGACTAATCCAGCATTTATCAATAATTTTCAATTGTCAATAGAAAAAAGAAAGAAAGTATTAGTCTTGCACTCTCTAGCCTTCGTAGCAAGATTGTTAGAGTACTTAGTTTGGATATTTTGATGTAACTAGATTTTTGGACTTGCGATTTCAATGTATGACTTAATTTAGAAACTTCATTAAAGGTCTGGTTATAATAAAATAAGATGTGATTATATTAGTCTTGAAGAAAGATTGTTAGAGTACTTAGTTTGGATATTTTGATGATGTAACTAGATTTTTGGACTTCCGATTTCGACGTATGACTTAATTTTGAAACTTCATTGAAGGTTTTTTTTTTTTGTTTTTCCTAGTAGTCACAGAGATTTATAGAAATTTAAGTTGGGGGAAAAGAAAATATACTTTGATTGAGTATGTAATAAATTTTAAATCACATAAAGTGGGAGCGAAAGTGAATTCAAGAGCGGGAGCGTTAAAGCAATAAAATTAAGTCACAAAAAGGGAAACAAATTTTGGGGAGTTGAGTGATTTTGGGAAAATTATGTTTTAAAAAAAAAAAAAAAAAAAAAAAAAAAATCATATATTATTCATAAAACCACCTATATTTGTGATTTTGAAAAAATATGTAGTAAATAAAATAATGAACTTGCATAAGATTACTTGATTCATTGATAAGGATAAATATTTAACAAAATGATACATTACCAGTAAGGATTTTTTTTATATAATTAATATGAATAAACATGAAAAAATAAATAAAATATAATAATATATACAAAATAATAAATTAGATAGAGCCAGTCCAGATTGCAGATAATTCTAAAACAGCCACCCAATCAACTTCAGCCACCATACTAAAAATAAAGACACAAGCGAAATAAGCTCAGGCTGCCCTAATCCAAAGCGACAAAGGCGGTAGGCGGTATAAGTGATTCATGTAAATAGTTATATATATATATATATATATATATATATAGTATTAGCTCACCCAATCAACTTTAGCCACCATACTAAAAATAAAGACCCAAGCGAAATAAGCTCAGGCTGCCCTAATCCAAAGCGACAAAGGCGGTCGGTCGCCTACGACCTCAAATTTTGTGGGGCTCAAAATTTATAGGCCCAGAAAAATATATATTTTTAGGGCAAATCATTTCAGCCCCTCCATCAAAAAGAATAGTTTAATGGTTTCTTTCTCCAAACGGATGGAAGGAAATACCTAGCGAAATTTAATCAGTTTACTCCAACCTCTCAAATAACATTAATTTTGAAAATGCATTCTATTATTCAATATAACACCCAGACTTCAAAAATTTGTTATAACTCCAATTATTTATAAAAAAATTGTATATATGAAATTATGTAGTCTATTTAAAAAATAAAATCACACCGTACACTTGCATAAATATAGCATGACGGACATGATAATAAGATTTAAAAGCACATTGGGCTTTGTTTGGGGGAGCTTCTAAATTTTAAAATTCCTTCCATTTTGAAGGTCTTTGCAAAATGTATTTCAATGGAAGGAATTTAAAAGAAAAAAGTTATTTGGTGGATGCAATTTTGAAATTCCTTCAACAATTGACATAATTTTTAAGTTGACATTTTTATTCTTAATAATTAATCTCAAAATTTTCTCTCCATAGACATTACTGAAATGCTTCCCCAGTTTATGATTTCCTTACCCATATATATTTATATATATATATATACACATCTATTTTAAAACAATATATTGTAGAGAAAACAAACCTTGAAATTAAAAGGTTTGCGATCTAGGGGTTAAATGTATATGCTATAGACATGATTATCTTCTCTTTCCAGAATTAACAAGTTTAAATTACATGCAACATTGCTATAGTGATTACATAGAGTGTGTTTAGTAACGTTTTCGTTTTCTGTTTTTACAGTCTTAAAAAAGTAAAAACATGATTTTGCTTTCTTGAGTGAAAATAGAAAACAGAAATGATGTTTATTAACATTTATTGTTGTCACAAATTTAAAAATATAAAACAATAACTGGGTTTAGTAATACAACAAATTTGTTACAAAATGTACATAATATTCTTTAATTTTTTATTTTATTTTTTTATTTTTTTTCATTTCTATTTTATTTTTTTCATGGCAAGAATTTTAGGAGTTAGTGATTAGAGGGGAGGGTGAGGGGAAGGGTAGATGATTTGAACACGAACTCTCGGACACAAGGAGCAACCCAACAAGTCAGACACACACTTGCTTCCATTAATATCAAAAAGCCATAAATCTAGAAAATTTAATTTAAAATTATAAATCTTAAAAATACCCAATACATTTTAAGTACAAAATTAGATATACCAAGATAAAAATATTCCCACCAATTATGTATATAAATACATGTATATGCATGATGTATACATTTATTATGTGATATATAATATATTTAGCATATGATAATTTATTATAAATAAAAAATATTAAATAATATATCTTATATGTAATAAAATATATATTGTGTTATAAAATTGTAAATTAATTATAATTTAATATTTACATATAATATAATATAGATATGATATATAATAATATACAATATCTACAGCTTAATAATTTAATAACATTATATTCTATATCAAAAATTATTTTTTCACAAAAAATAATTTACATTATTATTTAATATAAATTAGATAAAACTAGTCCAATCTCCAGATAAATCTAAAACAGTCTGAAATATATTAGGCACTGTTCTATATTCGTAATATGCAAATATAAGCCACTGTGGGTTTTTTTTTCAATAAATTGTATTAGCCCACCCAATCAACTCAGCCACCATCCTAAAATAATGGCCCAAGCCAAATAAGCCCAGGGTCGGCCCTGACCCAAAGCGACAAATCGCGAAAAATATATATTTTTAGGGCAAATTATTTCAGCGCCTCCATCATTCTCGTTCTCAACTCTGAACTTGCCCTCTCTCTGCGCGACTGCAACATCAGAAGAAGAAAAGAATGGAGAGGGAGATGAAGAAGAAAGGAATGGGGAGAAGAAAGGTAGAAATAAAGAAAATTGACAAGAAGAATAAATTGATGGTCTCTTTCTCCAAACGGAGGGGAGGGTTGTTCAATAAAGCCGCCCAGCTAAGTGCGTTGTGTGGTGCGGATGTTGCGGTCCTCGTCAAGTCACCCTTCGCCGGGAGGATTCATTGCTTCGCAACCCCGTCCATGGACGCCGTCCTCAGCCGGTTTCTCTCCCAAAATCCTAGTGATCAGGAGGAAGTCGTATGTAAGAAAGATGATGAAGAAAAAGTGGTGGAAGATTCGGATAGGGTTTGGTGGGACGTTGGGATTGATGAATTAGATTCGAATCAGCTTGAAGACTACATAATTGCATTGGAAGAGTTGAGGAAGAATGTGGTGGCTCGGGCTGATGAGATGGAGGCGGCGGCGAGTGCTTGTTCATCCGATGAGATGGTCATGGCGGCGGCGAGTGCTTGTTCGTCCGATTACGTAGTGGGCATGGCGGCGGCGAGCGCTTGCTCCTCCGATTACGTAGTGGGCATGGCGGCTGCGAGTGCTAGTTCCTCCGATTACGTAGTGGGCATGGCGGCGGACAGTGCCTGTTTCTCCGATGAGGTGGGCATGGCGGCGGACAGTGCCTGTTCATATGACGATATTTTTAGGGATATTTTAGATTTTGAGTTCACGGATGCTGATTTTGAGTTGCTTGGATAGGGTTTTGATCCGTGTAGGCTACAGTTTGTGATTTGTGCAGATTTCAATGTATAAATTGAATTGGATTTTGATATTGTGAATCAGTTGAAATTTTGATCTATTATGATACCTCCAAACTTAACAAATAGTCTCCCAGTCTTCATTGGCTATAATTTAAATATACAAAACCAATTTGATGATACAAATTAAAATACACTTGTAAACTACTCGATATGGAAACTTTCATTGGCAGTTGCTGCTGATTTTTTATCGAGTGCTTTGGTGTGTGGAATGGCTGAAGACCACCCGAAACCATTGGCAGGCCAAAATCAGCTACCTGAAAAATAGGGGTAATAGTATCATATCAGACATTATTTTGACTTTAAAACTACCAAATTCTTGATAATGTGTACAAGATAAACATCTTTATTAGCAAGTTATCACATTTCGGCTCAAAATGGGTCGTGAAGGATCTTTCAAGTTCACTAGCAAGTTATCACATTTCGGCTCAAAATGCACAATTTTCTTTGAATGCAAATACTCCATTCCAAAGGCTGCATCCATGGCTATTATGAGCCGCTTGCAACGATCAAGATGCCTGAAAATTAACAGCAGGAGAAAGAACGTGAATAAGAGAGAAAGAAAATGAGGTAGCAACCGAATTTTAAAGATTTATAATTGGTTAAGTTTCAGTCAGGAACATAACCAAAATACTGGCAACGGTTTGGAGAATTTGTGGTCTGAGATTGAATCCTCCAAATAATGTGCTTTGTGTTCTCAAGTTACGTTCTTCAATGTCGCGGCAAAGTCTTTGCTCTAATTGTTTATACAGCGGCATGATTCAAGTCTTCTAACTTTGTAATGCCATACAAATGTCTTCTAACTTGGTAAGGCCATACAAAAGAGGCATGGGAACCAATAATGACATTTGTAAGGACCCTGGCGCCAAATGAGAGAGAGAAAGTCGGAGAGAAACTGAGTCTGGGTTGGAAGTTCAGTCTCATCCCCTGCAATAGCTGAGACCTTCCATCGTGGCATTATTCAAGTTTATAAACACAAACGAAGTTCAGTCTCATCCCCCTGCAATCGCTGTTGCGGTCGTAGAGTCACCAAATAATGAGTCATAATTCCTCGAGGTAATCTTCTCCACTTGCCCAGCCAAAACGATGATGGCATAGGAAGTAAGCACCTGTCTTCACCTGATACATTGACAAATCTGTGTTATTAACATTTTCACAAGGAGGATGGGTGTGGTATGGGCTACCCTTCTTATCTTTCTCAAACACAACATGGATTCCAAATTCCATCAATTGAGGACCCTCGGAAAAATACTGAAACATTCACTTCATCACCAGCATCCATTAATTGATTCACAAAATCCCAATGGCTTAACTATACCATCTCGTTCCCGTCTTCTGGAACGCCCATGAATGCTGGGCTGTATATCCACTTCAGATCCTTTGTTCTATTACTCACTTTAATCAAGCAAAACTTATCCCAATAACCATTGATTGAATCATGTCTATCAGAATGTGCATAGACAACACATGCATTCAAGCCTTGGATCTTGAAATTAGGAAAAGAAGGTACCTTAAAACATACTGAACATTCCATGCTCTTCATGCTGAACCGGACTGGAACTTCACTACCAGGGAGAAAAGTGCTAAATATACCCAGATCATACAGTCCCCTACAGCATCCAAATCATAACTTTTAACTCTTACCAATACGAAAGAGAGAGAACCATAGTATAGATAGCGAGGGAGAGAACTGACCTGGGGGAAACTTTCCTTTCAGTTAACGCCATGTTATTCAACAAAGACAGTTCAATATATCTCAGGAATTTCAAGTTGGACAAGCCCAAATCGCTGATCATTACTTCATCAAAGTTTCCAATGGCTTCTAACTAGAACATTCTCTGAACCTCAAGTTACTACATGAACTTGTATTAGTTTTGTCTTTTTCCTCTACCATTGCCTCACTAGCGCAGCTGTTGGTGTTTGCTGCACATTATTACCAAAACTGATTTTTATTTTTTAATTTCTAATTTATCTCCAATTGATGTTATTTCTTTTCTAACTTTGTCCTTCTTTGTCTTGACATACATCCATCTCAACATAAACATTTCAATAGTGCTCATTTTATGAACATTTAATTTCTTACAACTGACAAACATTCTCTCCTATAAACCATAGCTAGCCAATAACTGTTATGTTGTGTTTGTGAAACTTTAAAGTAAATTTCCTCCAATTCCACTTCCAATTCCAATTCCAATGTACGGATTCGATGCTCCCAATAATCATCTTCAATCAATACATGATAAGTACTCTTCAACTTAACCAACATCATCTTCGATCTTCCCACCAATTAAAGAATTGAGCCTAGGTGAAGAAAAAAAATCTTTTGGTATTTCTTGACCTTCTATCTATATTACATATTTGAAGCCTTTGATGCACTATTTGATTAGTGAAAATCAAAGTGCTTTCATTCCATCTAGGCTCATACGTGATAATGTAATTATTGCCCATCAAATCATGCATTATTTGAAGAATGGGGGAAACACTAAGCAAGGGTATTTTGCATTAAAATTGGATATGGCTAAAGCATATGACAGGGTGGATTGGCATTTTTTGGAGGAGATGATGCTACAGCATGGGTTCATATCATTATGTGTTGTGTTCAGTCAGTTTCAGATTCTGTTCTCATTAATGGAGAGACAGGTGGTTTGATAACTCCATCCAGAGGTTTAAGACAAGGGGACCCTCTCTCCCCTTACCTTTTTCTTTTTTGTATCAACTCTCTTAAAGAAAGCTGGGGCTAATCGTTTGTTTAAAGGAGAGTTAATGTCTGAGGCTGGCAGGGAAGTTCTTGTTAGATCCATTTTAGCTGCATTACCTACTTATTCCATGCATTGTTTCAAGCTTTCTTCAGAAATATGCAAGAACTTGTCAAGTATGCTAATGAATTTTTGGTGGAGTGGGCATGCAAAATCATCAAAGCTAAAATGAATTGCATGGGATCTTATGTGTCAACCTAAGAAGTTTGGGGGTTAAAGATATAGAGGCTTTTAACTTAGCTCCACTTGCTAAATTTGCATGGAGGTTAAGGTGGGGAAAGATTCTTTGTTTTAAAGAATTTTCAAGCAAAAATATTTTGCTTCTTCTTCGTTTCTGGATTCCAACTGTAGTAACTACACTTCTTGGGTTTGGAAAAGTTTATCCACGGCCAAACCTATTGTGAAAACAGGCTGCATTACTTTCATTAAGACACGGTTCAAGTTTTGAAACTGTACCCAAGTTGATTAACCAAGACACGCATTCATGGAAGACGGATCTGGTGAAGGCAACATTTAATGGTCGGGATTCTAAGCTTATTTTACAACTTCTGACACAAATTGGGCTGAAATTCAATTGTATTGAAATCACAATGAAATTACACTATTATATACACTTCAGAGGATCTAAATTAGGAAACTCTAAAACTAGGAAACTGTCTAATCCTAGAGATACTAATTCCCTAGAATCAGGGCTGTCTAATCCTAGAGATACTAATTCCCTAAAATCAGGGATTACAATGACTAAAATATTACAAGATCTCCTAGCTAATTATTACAAGATCTCCTAGCTAATTACAGCTATACGCACACGGTTTCCTTAGCTAATTACAGCTATACACACACGGTTTCCTTAGTTATAGAACTGAATTTCCACACTCCCCCTCAAGCTGGTGAATGGATATCATCCATTCCAAGCTTGCTTGCTAGTCTCTAAAAAAAACGTCCCAGACAATCCTTTGGTGAGTATGTCTGCAAGTTGATTGCTAGTGGAAACGAATGGCGTGCAAATTAGGCCACTGTCAAGCTTCTCCTTTATAAAGTGCCTGTCAACTTCAATGTGCTTCGTACGGTCGTGTTGCACTGGATTATGTGCAATATTAATGGCCGACTTATTGTCACAATAAAGCTTCATTGGACCTTCCCACTTGACTCTTAGATCTTCTAAGACAATTTTCAGCCATAATAATTCGCAAATCCCAAGTGCCATTGCTCTAAACTCGGCTTCTGCACTGGATCTTGCCACAACATTTTGTTTTTTACTCCTCCAAGTCACAAGGTTGCCTCCTAGAAAAGTGCAATAACCCGAGGTAGATCTCCTGTTAATTACAGACCTTGCATAATCTGCATCAGTGTAGGCTTCAAGAGTTAGCTCATCCCCCTTCTTAAACAAAATTCCTTTGCCCGATGTGCCTTTCAAGTACTGTAGGATTTGATACACAGCCCTAAGATGTGACTCTTTGGGATTGTGCATGAATTGACTTACAACACTAACTGCATAAGCTATGTCTGGTCTAGTGTGTGACAAGTAGATAAGCCTTCCCACAAGTCTCTGATAGGAGCCTTTATCTACTGCCGTGTCTTCCAGAGCATCTCCAAGCCTACTGTTGAACTCTATAGGCATCTCTACTGGTCTGCAACCTAACTTGCCTGTTTCCATCAGCAAATCTGTTACATATTTTTGCTGAGATATGAAAATTCCTTCCCGAGAATGTGCTACCTCAATGCCGAGAAAATACTTTAGTTTGCCAAGCTCTTTGATTTCGAATTCTTTCACTAAACACTTCTTTAAATTCTCCATTCCTTCCAAATCGTCACCTGTCACTATAATGTCGTCTACATAGACAAACAATGCAGTCACTCCCCCTGAAGCCGAGTGCTTTACAAACAAGGTGTGATCGCCTTGGCTCTGTTTGTATCCCATATCGAGCATTACCTTGGCAAACCTTCCAAACCAAGCACTTGGAGACTGTTTTAATCCGCACAACGCCTTTCTTAACCTGCATACCACCTGCCCTGTATTTGAACCAAACCCCGGTGGAACTTCCATATAAACCTCCTCCTTGAGATCACCATGTAAAAAGGCATTTTTGACATCGAATTGCTGTAATTTCCAGCCCAGATTAGCAGCCAATGACAACAACACTCTAACGGTGTTCATCTTCGCAACAGGAGCAAATGTCTCAAGATAATCTATTCCATACGTTTGGGTATAGCCTTTAGCAACTAACCTTGCTTTGTACCTCTCCAATGAACCATCTGACTTGTATTTCACGGTGAATACCC